AATTATTTTAACAAGAGTGAATGTTACAACTACCAATTAATAGACTGGATTCAACTTAAATTGTTTAAAAAGATAAATTGATTGAAAAATTAAAACATTAGTTAGGTTTAATTTTGATTCAATCGCTCAAAAAATATAATGGAAACTGATTGAGTATCAAATTGAATTTTAAACCAGCAGATATTGAAAACAAAACCATTTTTTTTGTATTTAGTTTTTAAAAATATTTTTCTGTATTTCTTGATTAATTAATATTCTTACTTTGAATAAAAAGTTACAGTTCCATTATAATTTAAATATATAGTTATGTGTTGCAGTATTTTTTTTATGAAATAAAAAATTTGAATATAAATATATTTAATTTTAAGTATTATATACATGTGTTTAAATAAAAATCATATATAGCATACACACAACTATATACCAATACAATAGTACGAAGTTAATCGATTAAAATGATTGGAAAAAAGTTTGAAACATGATCAAACATAAAAAGATTAAAAACTTAAAATAAAATAAATTTATTACATTTTTTATATTTATAAAAAATACATTTCTTTTGCCATTAAAAATATTAAGTTTTAGTTACCATATTTTTTCTTAAAACGATTAATACATATATAATTATTTAATGATGACTTCCGAAGCGTCTAAACATTTTGAGTAAAATTATGACGTAAATGCATGTTATATGATGAATGACTTACATGAACTAAAAAATTTAAATGTTGTAAGCGAAAACATTAAGTATGAGTCTTGACAATTATATATTATTGACTACATTTATTTTTATATGTACCGTGAAACTACTTATTATATTGAATACAAAATTAAAAATATTTATGCTACATTCATTAATTTCACATTCTTACAAAATCAAGTTGAAAAAAATTTAAATATTTTTTTCTTGTATTTTCTCCTTACAAGATTTTACGTTTCAAAACAAACAATATCTTGAATAAATGATGATTGACTCTAACAATATTATTTGATGAATTTGAAATATAATAAATTTTTTTATTATTGTATCGTATGATTGTCTAGTCAATCTTAGATCGGACAGTTCAAACTGTTAACCATGACCATGTTGATCATCTTGAGACTAAACAATGATAATTTATAGACTAAACGGTTATCCTTAAGAACGATTGGACTTAATACTTATTAACTTACAACAAAACATAATTAGAACCAATTGAGTCATGATTAAGCCATTAGTAATCCAAAGTACATTTCAAAATCTATAAATATAGTATTTAGATAAAGATATATGTGATTGCATTTATTACACATTAAGTACTAAAACTATTATATTTTTACTAATTTTGGTATTTGAGTACCATCTTTCAATAATCTTTCAATTTGAGCTAACAGATTTCTAGAACGAACAGTGAAGAAGACAGGTATCAGAATATTTGTCACAATAAACAAATAACCACAACCCGTAACTGAAACAATTATGTTTAATTAAATTGTATGACATAATAATAGGAAAAATATGGTTTATTAAGAAGAAAAAGAAAATGGTATAAGTATTGATATTAGAACCCAGCGTCTAAGGTACGTATTTATAAAGTGGGATGCTTTGTGCGATCCCTTACGTTGTTGTTTGATTCTATGGTCAAACAGCAATGCTTATCTCATGTGTTGGCTTCAATTATCCAAATGAACGTGTGGACGTTTTTTTTTTGCGATTATATTTGGCTATAATGGGTCTGGATTCCACTCACAAAACAGAAGTTCTTTTTTCTCCCATCATATTCATGCTTCACGTCTAAAAGATATTCTTCTTATAGAGACAAAAGGATAACCTAAAAGAATAAATAGAAGGAACAAACAAACACATACAAAGAACAACACACTGTTCACAAGTTGCATAACAATTTACAATTCATAAATTATTTCATTTTTTTAATACAAACACATCATTTTGAGTAAACTTTAATTAGTGCCAAATAACTCCTTTAAACTGTTTCTTATATGATCGAAAAGAGAATGCTGAGCCAAAAAATATTAATTAAAAGAGAAAACTTTTTGTTGTCATGTGTAATTATGCATGTCTTTTAATATTCTCTAATATAATTTTTTTTATACAATTTTTTTCTAATTATTATTAGAAAGGCCTTTAATTAATGTGTGCTTTCATCTTTATAAAATAATTATATTTGACACACAGATGGATACTAAAATGTGAAAACATTTATAAAAGAAAATTCACAAAATGTATATCACAAGATAATTTAATATGAGTCATTCATAAAACTCTTTTAATAAATTTTACTGTTAAGTTTCTCAAATTAAATTAAAATCTTGGCTTTTACGAATTTCCAAGGGATAAGTAATTCCATTTTGTTTTCATATTTTTTCTTCAATTTCATATATCTCCTCTGACTTGCTTCTTTACGTTTTCTCTTTATTTCAAAAATTGTTTCACAATTGTTTTTTTGGAATAAACCGTACTAACTAGAAGGTAAGCATTAAACACTTCTAGTCAATCAAAATTAATTTTGGAACAGATTCTTTTTTCTTTAAAATATTTCCGTTCTTATAAAAAAATGAAAAACAATTTAAAAGTTTCCAGTTTTTCATTTATCGGTTATTTAAATCGTTTTTTTATCGGTTCGTTTTCTAATACCGGTATAGTAAAGCTATTATAGATGCCTTGAAAACTTAAATTTAAATTAAAAAAAATTATTAAAAAATCACGAACCGCTTTCAAATTTCTAATTAAGATATAAGGTGAAATAAGCCTTACAAATTCTCTTCCAAAATCTCATTCTCTATTTCAAACTTCTTATGTATGAATTTAAACTGAAACATATTTTATAATTCAATTATTCGTAGAATTAAAACTAATATAGTTGATTTTGTACCATTTTCTTGCTTTTATAATGTAAAAACCAATGGAGAAATTAGTTAAAATTAAACGAGTTGTATTTCCCTCTTTAAGAGATTAGTATATATTACGATATTTTAATATGAACATTGGTGGTGTATAATTAACTCTAACCGAGCATCCAAAGAACATATTTTTCTATCAATTTCAGGACTTTAATAAATGTAATGATGTTTTAAGTACTTCAACAAGATACTACGATTCTTGGTGGCATTTGCAGATCATATAATTAGAAATTGTATTGTATCCGAATATGAGATATAAATAGATTTTAATTTAGTTTGAAAGTTTAAAAAATAAAAATATATCAAACTCTTCTAAAAAAAATTTAGCTACATTGATTTGAAAACAAACAATTTTATAATTATTTTTCTTTTGTGAAATAATGTTAAAAATTCCTATATTAATTAAGATAGGGGAGTAATAACTTACAAACAAATAAAATTTAATAACTCAAGTAAATATGTAATAATGTTGATCTTATTAATAGCAAAAAACTTTAGATACAATTTTCTTTAAAAAGAAACTCTGAGGGTAATTGGTTTTCCTAAACTTGATTTAAATGTGCGATTTAAAGCTATCAAAGCATCAGTGACAGACAGACAGGGACAGGGATCTTGACTTTCTGCTATTTAAAGCTGTTATCCCCGTGGATTCAATTAATGTTGCCTTCTAAACTTTCTATCATTATCTTCTCTTCGTAAGTGTCCAACGTATGAGTTTAGAATCAGTATAATAGTTCATCTTATTTACATGTAAACAAAATTTTACATTGGATAAAATAAAAAATACACATGAGTTTATATATGTAAGATATTTTCTTTTATTAAAAGATTTTTTTTAGTGATATCAAAATCAAATTAGTAAAGATTTATCTAAAACAAACAATATCTTATCATTGTAGAAATTTATGAACATGTGTATATATTAAACCTACTCTCCACCAATTTTATAAAATATAGGTACTGTTTGTTACTTATCTTACAATAAGCTGACACGAGTGCATGTCTCGCGGCTCGTGCCACTCTCACCATTCTATTATTTCTGTGTCTTCTGCTGGAGTTTGTGATAGTGCGAGAAAAAAAATATCGTGTTGGCATTGTGCCACATTTGTACCAAGTAGCTTCAACCCCTAGTATTACGGTGCAAAGTTTTCTTACAGCTTAATTTTTTTTTATAAAGACGACGATTCCCAAACAGACCAACTAGTTAAATTGTAATGAGAAATTTCTATGGAAGACAAAATTATGATTGATGGTTTGGTATGGTACTGATAAAGGTACAGATAAAGAGTAATTCAACTTCTGATTAAAATTATTGAACTCATACATCATTTTAGTTGTCTCTTATCAGTTGGTGGGGCCTTCAATTGACAATAACCCTTTCATTTCTTTCCCTGTCATAAAGGTTTGGATCATATTCAAGCGTTTGTAGGCTTAACTTTTTACAATTACAGTATCATTTTCTGATAAATTTCTTTTCTTTCTTGGCATCTATTGCAGAACAAAATAAAGGTTTTTTCCCTTATATTCTATAAATCTCTATACTATTTTACAGTAGCACTTTATTTGAAATGATCCAGCAAGAGAAGCTACTGATGAAAGTGGGATTATAAAAATGTCGTAAACTGAGAATCTTCCGAAAAGAAAACAAACAAAAGTAGTGACTATTTATGCCTCATAGTGAGTTCTTTCACCTCATTGAAGCTATAACTTATGGCCACAACAGTGCTTTATGCTTTGTGGCTTTGGTGCTTCTCTGATTCACCAACCTCAACCATTACAAGTTTTGAAATAAAAATTTACAAGTAAAGAAGAAGCACTTAATTATATATAGGAGGGTCCAACAACTGAACGGCGATGATTCAAGGTAGGTAGGTAGTATTTTACAAAATATGGTATTGTTTGAAGCACAATCTGAAAGGACCCGTCATCTCAACAAGAATAATTTCACGATCACACACAAACAGAAAGAGAGGGGCTCACGGGCAGCACCAAACAAACAACAACAATTACAACAAAGTGAAAGTGGCCAAACATTAAAAAAAATAAAAACAACATTTTTATAGGCAAAAAGTGCAACCTGTCCTGTGGTTTGGATTGCCCATCTCACCCTCTCTCTCATTACATGTCAGTAGAAGCACCCGTGACCTATCTCTCTGTCATTGATTCTCTGATTCAGCTTCACTTTCCAGTGCCACCTATAAACAAGTACTGTTAACTTGTATATAAACCGTTAAACAAGCCAATTCCCACGGCACTTCTACTTCCAAACCACATTCCTCTCCTTACTATTCTTTTGCTCACATTCTCTCTGAGAATGTCAATTTTTCATTCCGTTTTCTATGGTTTAGTTCTAGTTATCATTCTTCTACAGAATCCCAGTTCAACACAATGCCATACCAAGGGAATCAGACCCAGGCCTGGGTATGGTTTATCTACCAACATGACCAGAGTTCAATTTTCAGAAGAACAGTTCATGAAATGGGTGCGATTTGTGGGTGGCCTCAAACATTCTGTCTTTAAGACAGCAAAGAATAAGCTTTTTCCTTCTCACACTCTGCATGTTTCTAAGAAGTCTGGCAAAGGAGGTTTTTCGTCAATTCAAGCAGCCATTGATTCCCTTCCATTCATCAATGTAGTGAGAGTGGTAATTAAGGTCCATGCAGGGGTTTATACGTAAGTACTTGTATTATATTTCTACTTGCTCCACTTGAATTCTGCCACATTCAAGTCTTTTTGCCATGTGCTGCTTCTTTATGTCCTTGTTCATGTGAGACATGGGTTTTGCTGTTTGTCCTGTTCACGTTCAATAAAAATAATAGTAATAATAATATTATTATTTGTTGTTTTTGTTTTCGTGCGATTTGGTACATAGGGAAGTGATAATAACTTGGGTGTCTTTTTCCTTTTGATTCAAATGCCCTGAGGATTGGTCTTTGACTACAGGAGACATTGCACCTAATGGACTGTCCTTTCTTTCAGACTTGTCCTGTTTTTATTTTATTCTTTGTTTCACAAATTGCAAGTTTTCTTCTATGTTCATTGCTGAACAAATTTTGATTTGTATTTGACTGAAAATTTCTTGTTTGCCTTTGTTAAATTTTGTAATCACACAGGGAGAAAGTTAACATCCCTCCTTTGAAATCCTTCATAACAATACAAGGAGCTGGAGCGGATAACACCATTGTTCAATGGGGTGACAGTGCTCAAAGCCAGCCATCAGGAACCTACGGTTCTGCAACTTTTGCAGTGAATTCACCTTTTTTCGTAGCCAAGAATATCACATTCAAAGTAAGTAACAAGCTCCATTCCTCTGCTTGAATATAAATAATGCTGCTCTGTGTTTCTACAACAAAAACGTTGTTGAATGGGCTTTCAGAACACTGCCCCGATTCCAGCACCAGGAGCAGTAGGAAAGCAAGCGGTGGCATTAAGAATTTCAGCAGACAATGCAATATTCCTAGGCTGCAAATTCTTGGGAGCACAGGACACACTCTACGATCATCTGGGTAGGCATTACTATAAGGATTGTTATATCGAAGGCTCTGTCGATTTCATCTTTGGAAACGCTCTCTCTCTCTTTGAGGTTAGATTTTTTCTCCAAAATTTCACAGCCGTGATATTGAATCAGTGCTGTCAAACAATCCAAGGCTTTTCAATAAATTAATCAGAAATGGAATCTAAGTTGTTGCTTACCTCTATGTCTTACTCATTCCATTTAATTTATTTTCAAATGAAAAGAAAGTAGAAATAATGTTTTTATTAAAAACGATAGACACGGGGTACCCTGAGCATTGGTAAGATTTTTCAACCTTTGTTGTGTTGAGATTACGTTATGACATTGGAAACACTTAACAGGGATGTCACGTGCATGCAATAGCACAAGTTACAGGGGCCCTAACAGCCCAAGGAAGGAGCAGCTTATTACAGGACACGGGATTCTCGTTCGTTCACTGTAAGGTCACGGGCTCAGGAGCACTTTACCTTGGAAGGGCTTGGGGTCCCTTTTCTCGCGTTGTCTTTGCTTACACTTACATGGACAACATCATCATTCCCAAAGGATGGTATAACTGGGGTGACCCTAACCGTGAAATGTAAGTCCTTTAAACCTTCATCAAACTAACATCTCAAACACCACTCAACTTTTCATTGCATAACTTAGTATATAATCATTTGCTTCAACTCACTTTTGTTCAATGCTTTATAGAAACATGCAAATTATCTCAAGAGAGTAAAAATAAAGTGTTGTTTCTCACTGGGTATATAGGTTCTGCTGATTAGATTACAAGTTAAGAGTATTTCACCAAAGGTATCTCTCTGGGTAACGGAAAGTGTAGTGTGTTGTCTAGAAAGATTATGTTCTGAATACCTTTTGCAACAGTAGTGTTTGTCTTTTTGCCCTTTATGATAGAAGTTCGCACTTGAGAAAGTCACAAATAGCCCCAGCAATTCTCAATGCTTTTATGCCAAGTGACAAGAAAACGCACTAAGTAAGCCTCTATGATCATGGTAACAATATATCAGAATAACTAATGAGTCTCATTGTCTCATGACAGAATAAGAGCATTGTTGGGTATAGCTAGTTAGAGTATTGTGCCACCAGGAACAGAAGTGACCTAACATGTGTGGTGGAAGTCTACGTGTTGTTGTTGTTTCATTAATCATGCCCATTCCAATACTTAAAATGGTATAGGTAGAGTCCTACCCACAAACCACATACAATGCAACTGTATTTGCTTACATAGATAAGGCACATCAGTGTGCATAAAGTCTGAAAAGAGCATGACAACTTAGCCACCTAGTTTAGTAGATATTTATGAATTTGTTGATGTATGTTTTGTTGGCATGGTCATGTGAGTGTGTTGTTGATTTGAATTTTGTCTGGTTTTGGTTTGGTTTGGGTCCACCAGGACTGTGTTCTATGGACAGTACAAATGCACAGGAGCAGGAGCAAGGTACGCGGGGAGAGTATCATGGTCAAGGGAGCTCACTGATGAGGAAGCTAAGCCGTTTATTTCCCTTAGCTACATCGATGGCTCTGAATGGATCAATCTTTCTTTTTGATTCAATTTTATTTATCTCATTACAAAATTTTTATGTATAAATTTATATAAATTATTACACTTTTACACTGTCTTTCACATTTCCCACTTCAACTTCTTCCTGCTTCACATTTCTTCTATAACTTTCTTTTTAGGGAAAGTGGGTAGGGTCCAGGAGAATTTTCTTACTTTCCATTTCTCTTCTTTTTATTTTCTTGTATACATGTTTCAGAATAATATCATGTTTTTTTAAAGAAAAACATGGCATAAAATTTAGTTATACTTTTATTCTTGTACCTATGTTTGCGAAAACTAAAATCAACAAAACATGCATATTAATTTTAAAATATTTATAAAAAAAAATGCTCTTTCTTTCTAAAAAGAAGAAATGTTTTACATGTTCTAGTTTGGTCTTTCGTGCTGTGGTGCAAGAAAATCAAAATAAAAAATAAAACAGTATTCAAGAGTTGACTTTAATATATTTTTGAGCTCTTTTAATTTACAATTTATTTTTAATTCGGAAATTAACTTTTTTAATCCCTACATTTAATCTCCATATAACATTTTTGTGATTTATTGTGTCCTTTGTAACGAGTGTAATAGTATTATGGGCTTAGATCAGTAGTGACATAGAGCCCATTTATGTTTAGGCCCATAAAAAAAACTTAAAACACAAAACAAACAGCTATTATTAGACATGTATCTTCTAAATAATTTACCATGACATCTAAATAAAAATTATTATTTGTAATATATTTTTTAAATTAATTATTCTGAAATTTAACAAAATTGCTACTCATAGTATTCTGTGATTAGATGAGAGTTCAAAAGTGACTACTGGACCTAATTTGCATTATTTGTAAATATTATACATATATATTTTGTTTTTCACTTTCATTTTATCTTTTTTCATATGTATACATATTTTAAAATTAAAGCATTCATCAAAACATGTCTGACTTTGTCCATAGTTAATTTGATAGAAAGCATTTATTTCCCCCCTTAAATGTACTTTAGTTATACTTTACAGATTTAATACTCAAATTTAACATTAATTTATAAATGTTATTATATTTTAGAAAATCAATAGTGTTATATAAATAAAGCATAAAAGAATTTATGTTATCATTGTTAATTAGTAATTAAAAAATAGATAATTTTTGGAATGAAGGAAGCAACATGCACCAATATACTAAACAGTAAAAGACAAAAACAGCACTTACCCTACAGTTCAAAATTCAAAAGAATTAGGGAAAGATTTGAAGAAACGACATAAAAAGGTCAGATTATAGTACGTATGAATGTGATGAATCAGAACTCAGAGAGAAGAGATAACCAAAAAACCTGCATTCCCTGACATTCAAGATTCTCTCTCACTCCATAAATCAAATACAATTTTCAATCATTAATTGTTAATTATAGTTGTCATTTCAATAACTGCACACTCTGCAGTTTAAATATCAAATCATGACATCTTCAGGTTATTTATCTTTTTGGTGAAATAAGTTATTTTAGTAAACACTTATTTTTCTAAAAACTTAACAACCATGCTATCTTGAACCAATAAATTGCTACATCAATGTCTTGATGTTTTATATTCCAACAAAATTTCTTGATATTACATGTTGAAGCCTTGTGTAGTATATGTTATTGTTTGGAATGCTGTTGTTTGAGGTGTTTGATAAATTCTGAAGGGAATGAACAATTGTAAAGATGTTAACAGAATTAATTGGTACTTAAATTTAAATTTTAATGTTTAGATTTTTAATTTGTTTTTTATGTATATATAACTTGTTTTTTTATAGGTACATAACATAACCCACTTTTTCAACTAAAAAGAAATCAAAAGAAGAGTAGTAGAATGCTCCTTTTTCAAACTTTAGAACAGTCTTCTTGTTCTAACGCCATTCTTTGAAACCCTTCAAATTGAAGCTTTATTTTTTGCGTAACAAAGTTAACAAATTGCACAGATAAATAAACACAAATGCATAGTTTCAGTAAAAAAAAAAAAACTCAAATTGCTGTAACATTTGATTATGATGAGATAATTCCATGAGCAAATAACAAGGGGGACCTTCTCTTTGTTCTCCTATTTTGTCTTGTCTCCCCTCACTGTATGTTCTCAAATTGGCAATCATGGGGGTGCAGACACGCACAGTTACTACTAACAAGGTGAAAAGGCAAAAGGAAATACACTATCACAAGTTTCACCAATCGCCACCTCCTCTGGTTGGAAAAGTTGGTGTTGTCTCCCTACCAAATTCTGTGGATTTCTGAAGCTTACTCATCACAGCATTCTTAAAATTAATTGCTTCCTGAATCTGTGAGCAAGACCTTTGCATTCTAGTCCCACTTAAAATGCTCCTGGACTCCATCNAGTGTAGTATATGTTATTGTTTGGAATGCTGTTGTTTGAGGTGTTTGATAAATTCTGAAGGGAATGAACAATTGTAAAGATGTTAACAGAATTAATTGGTACTTAAATTTAAATTTTAATGTTTAGATTTTTAATTTGTTTTTTATGTATATATAACTTGTTTTTTTATAGGTACATAACATAACCCACTTTTTCAACTAAAAAGAAATCAAAAGAAGAGTAGTAGAATGCTCCTTTTTCAAACTTTAGAACAGTCTTCTTGTTCTAACGCCATTCTTTGAAACCCTTCAAATTGAAGCTTTATTTTTTGCGTAACAAAGTTAACAAATTGCACAGATAAATAAACACAAATGCATAGTTTCAGTAAAAAAAAAAAACTCAAATTGCTGTAACATTTGATTATGATGAGATAATTCCATGAGCAAATTACAAGGGGGACCTTCTCTTTGTTCTCCTATTTTGTCTTGTCTCCCCTCACTGTATGTTCTCAAATTGGCAATCATGGGGGTGCAGACACGCACAGTTACTACTAACAAGGTGAAAAGGCAAAAGGAAATACACTATCACAAGTTTCACCAATCGCCACCTCCTCTGGTTGGAAAAGTTGGTGTTGTCTCCCTACCAAATTCTGTGGATTTCTGAAGCTTACTCATCACAGCATTCTTAAAATTAATTGCTTCCTGAATCTGTGAGCAAGACCTTTGCATTCTAGTCCCACTTAAAATGCTCCTGGACTCCATCATCTCATCGAGGGTAAGTCTCTTCTTTGAACCAGGATCTGGACGCTGCTTCGGAGCACTATGAGACCTCAATTTAGCCTTGAAAGACTGAGTGCTGGCCATGTAGTTTGGAAAATTGTGGTACTGCCCATAGAAGAAGTTTTCGTTGCAAACACTTTTAGGTGTCATAGGGGCAACAACAAGAGAGCCACAACTACAAGAGTTGGTGGTGAAGCGTGGAGTGCTTTGTGCTGTTGAAAATCTGCACTCTTCTCCTGTTAAGCCCCACTCTGAGTCCAGAAAAGTCCTGTGGTTCGGTATGGATAAATGAGTGAATGGGAGAGAAGAAGGAAGTGTTTGAAATGATGGGTCATCACCAAAATCTGACATTGATGTGTTGCTCCTGCGAGACCTTGACTTTGGCCTACCAGTGTCCACTTCAACTATTTTGGGGCTCCCATCAACACTGTTGTTTGCATTATTCATTGTGGCATCAAAGGAAGATGACAGCCTTCTGCTGTGGATGGGAGCTATGTACTCACTCTGTATGTCTTCAAATCTCTCCTGCAAAAACATTGTGACAACAATCACTATAAGTCTATCACAAATCATGATAGTGGACAGGAATATAAGATCTGTCATACAATACTACCATGGATTTTCGTGCTTGTGTTTGAAACCTGTGTGTTTCATTCTTTGTGCTCATGAATCCCTGAGATTTCTTAGATCTTACTGTAGCTTGAGCTCTAATTAGAGCCTGCATGCTGAGTAGGGTTGCTGCCGCTTGCTTCCGCACTAAGTACCCTCTCACTAGTGCTTGTAACTTCACCAATCCTTTTAAAGCTCTCAATGCCTTCCTTGCCTGGGTAGAAGAATCAAAGAATTTCAAGATCAAAGTATTTCTCTTGTTGATTTCTAAACAGTCAAGAGAATATATTTATCTGTTGACATTCTTTGAGTGCACTGTATTGCACACTGTTGAAAACTCTTGTAAGTTTTTTAACTGATATTAATTTAACTTGTTATTACTAACTAAGAATGATATGTAATAGAATCCAACTAGTGTTTTAGGATGTGAATTTTACAAGATGAAATGTTTATTTTTATATAATTGAAACAAAGTTCATAATAAGCAAGCATTTTCATCAAAGTATCATGGATCTACTAAAAGCTAATTAGAATTTGCATCTTACCAAGTATCCTCTAAACACAGTTTGAATCTTGACAACAGCCAACTTTTCTTGTCCACCATCAAACATAGTGTCTCTGCCATTGTCATGGCTGGTTAACCTAACCACTGCTACAGCAGCCTGAGCAGCAGCCACCGCCGCATTAGCCGCTGCTGCAGTGGCCACCGCAACTGCAATGGCATGCTTGTTCTGCTCCTTCTCAGTTTCTGAGTAGAAGGATTGTAGCCAAGCAGCTTCAGCAGGTGAAATATTGGGAGGAATGGTGGTAGGATTATGACATAAACCTCTGGAATCTCTGTCTGAGTGACACCATTTGGAGTCAGGATTTGAATTTTCTTTGCGCGCTCTGTCTGTCTTTCTCCCAAACAATCCCTTCAACCACCTAATGGTTCTCTCCATTGGGTGCCTGAGGGAAATGTTACTGGGGCCTTTGAATAGTCCTACTGGGAAGCCTACCTAAAAAAAATCACAGACACAGTTTTTTCAAGACACAATAAATAAAACATGTAGTTAAAATATGCATTACATGTCAAAATGCAGGAGACACGGTGAGCAAAATCAAACAACATTAAAATCCTGGAATATAAAATAGAGAGTTCAATTGAGGTGTTGGGGTTCACATTACATTGAAAGGGGAAACTATAAGATAGTAGACAAAGAAACCATGATGGTGGTATTAAACAGAAGGAGTGCATGGTAAAATCAGGAGTGAGATAACCCACCTTGGTAGAATCGAGTTCTTGAAAGGCCAAAACAGTTCAGAAGTGGGAAAAAGAAAAAGGAGAGGGAAGTGAGAAGGGAAAAACTGTGCAGTGATCCAATGAACAGAAAAAGATGGAAAAGGTTCAAAGAAGAGAACAGGCCCATAGTGAAATCTCTATCTTCATCT